AAATTTTGCCGCCACGTTGTTGTGCGAACTTGAAAGCAACATCTGATCTAATATGACAGCTATTTCTATGGTAATTCCAACCAATAATTAGATCTTAACTTTGAGCGAGTCAGGTTCGCATGAGAGCAGAGCTAGAATGCGTGATAACAAGTAAAGAAACAGCAACTCTCTGGTCTGGGTCCTGTTTAGCATGGTGTGCTACGTAGCGTGGTGTCCTATGTACATCGATGTTGCGCGGGGAAAACTGGGACAGACGAAGAACGCCTGACGCAAAAAGTAAACAGGAGAAGCAAGAGGGCAGTGAGCTCTCGTTAGCTGTAGTTTGGATTCTTCTCGATCCTTTTGTAGATTATGGACGTCAAAACTGCAAGGGAACGTGATGACGAAGGAAATAACGGAGATTCACCGTCAAAATCCAACACGGGAAAGTTTAAGAAGAGACTTCTTTCGGCAGGTGTGACCATTCCGCCATCTGGTTTTTTTGGACGCGTGTTAACTCGAGGACTGATTGTTGTTTTAATATGGGCTGTGTTATGGTCTATCATCGGTACAGATGCTTTACCGGGTGGAAACATTTTTGGCATATTCATAGTCATCGTTTCTGCAAGCCTTTGTGGTTTTCTTGTGTGTAGAATACCATATCTTCATCTCCCACCACTTCTAGGGATGCTTCTAGCGGGATTTCTCCTTCGAAATGTTCGCGGTATTGATTTGGCTCGTCACATCGATAAACGGTGGTCTTCAACGCTGCGAAGTATGTCTTTAGTCGTCATACTTATTCGTTCAGGACTCGGGTTAAACACATCAGCGCTCAGAAAACTGAAACTTACTCTAGCTAGATTGGCTTTTCTGCCTTGCATATTAGAGGCAGTTACAGCTGCGATTCTAGTGCATCTTCTCTTGGACATGAAGTGGCTTTGGGCCTTTCAACTTGGGTAAGTATTATTGTTCGGTAGGCAAATGTGAATGAATTGAAATTGCTTGCCCTCATCAGCTTGTAGGTACATCTACCTTTACTGAGCATTGTCATGGGACAAGCTTATGACAAGTCTACAACACATATTGTTTTCATATACATGTAAACCAAACTTGCATGTGCATTGCAAGTAATGCCACAAGATTTTGAAACATTTAATTAAAATCCTATTACAATTTATTGTTGAAGCCTCAGGCAAAGTTAAATTATGAAAGACACACAATGTTGCATAGACCCATTTCGTAAATGGCTGCCAATTTAAGATTCTTTTGTATGCATTTAAATAAGCCCACTTAACCTGATTTGAGATTAAAAGTTCTTTTGAATTATCAACTAAAAAACAAGGCTAGTTGGGCTAATTTTTATATTTACAAAAGAATTTTTAATTTGCAGCCATTTATGAATGGGGTCTATGGAGTGAGCTGTGTAAGCTAAAAAAAGTTGTATGCAACAAAGTTGTGCAATCTATTAGGCCTTTAACTCTTTCTAAAATTGGTAGTGACTATCCCTGTCACGTTTGCACAGGGCTCTTAGCCCCTACTCCCCACCCCCATCACATTGGGTGGAAAGCGATAGCAAGGGCTGATGTAGGGGGAGGGTGCAGGGGGTGTGCAACCTCCTTGAGATGAAGCCTTCTTCTTCGTATTTGCTTTTAAAATTTGTTCCGCTCAGTAGTCATTTATGCCACTCCTTAGTGGTCCACCCCCTCTTAAGAAAAATCCTGGATCCACCCCTGGGTAGGTAGCTGTGTACAGTCAACATGCAGTAAAGGGCAAGAGAGGTACATGTATGAGCATAAGATGAGTCTATAACATCTAGTTACAGCAATAGCAACTTAAGACATGTTTCATATAAAAGTTGCAGACATGTATGTATTTTTCCTTTTCAAAATTGGTATGGTTTTTTTTATCCAGTTTACACAATCATACATGGTGTCTGACTCTTTTTTTTTTTTAATTAGTAATTTACATAGCCACATTATTCTTTCCTGTTAGGTTTGTCCAAGCAGCTGTTTCTCTTGCTGTAGTAATACCTTGTTTGTTGGAGCTACAAGAGCAACATTATGGAGTGAAGAAAGGCATACCTACCTTGGTTATGGCGGCAGCGTCCTTTGATAATGTTCTCTGTATAAGTGCATTTGGAGTTTGCCTTGGAATAGCCTTTGATTCAGGATCTGCATTGAGTTAGTTATTTGTTCTTAGTTGTCATTAAAACATTTTATCATGACCTCCAAGTCTAACAAATACCAGTACTCCAAATTAGTAAACTACAAGTAGGAAGTATTGTACAACAAAAATATTTAAGGTCAATCAATTGACCAGTATCCAATTCGGCAACTCCCTGCACTTGAGAAAGAAACCTTTGAGTTACCTGTGCCATCTTTCTGATCTTGATTTGATATCTTGTATACTGAGCTACTTTTGGTTTTAATTAAGATGTTGACAGAAATGGAAACAGGGAAAAATATTTTTAACAGTTGAACCTCACTATCTTGAACTTCCCACTATGTCAAACTCAAATCATATTTC